TGGGGCCAGACCTTCATCTAGCAAGTAAGAGTGAGTTACCACTGCTGAGAATCCAGCCCATCATTTTTTAATTTGACAGTGTCCATTTCATCTTATGTTTGTTATACACACTCACTTTCATCCAAATAAAGCCTAAAGAACTTCACAAAATTAAAATGATTGTACAGAACTGAAATACAACTACCTCTAAGGTAAAAAGGGGAAATAGTTGAACAGTATAAAAAACTTATACAATAGTGAAGACCACCACATCTAATTAAAATTAGAAGGAGAATTCAAGTATGCAGAATTTAATTACCCAGAGGGAGTTGTGTAGCATTAAAACACTCTATTCTAAAAATTTAACCCCTGACAGGGCTCAAGCAATGTGTTTTTAACTTAGAACTTTAAATTCACCAGTAGCTAATGAGGAATGTTTAGAAAGCACTAAGATAATACTCCATGTCAGGGATATATTCCACTTTCATGTTAATTAATATTGGGGTTGCTTTTCTCTCTCTGTGTTACAATTTACTATAGTCTATTGAATGCGTGTGTGACAGAAATCTGCTTTTCTAGAAAAAGTATACTATTATGTTGTTTCAGTTAGTTGTGTCTTGATTACAAAATTACCTTGTTCATATTTTATAATGAATTAAGGACTTTGTTACATAAAATAGTTTTCACTTTGATGTTGTGCATCAAAAATGATAGGCTATTGTAACTCTAAACAGAGGAGCTTTGCTTTAATTTCTTTCAATGCATTTTACTTTCGTTTCATATTTTATATACTGGAATCCATATGGGATATAAACTCTAATTGTATTTCATGATTGTGCAGCTTGAAAAGCTGTTTATCATAAGTATGCTTATACCAGCATAAGAATAAAAAGAAAATACCTGAATTGGGTAAATCAGAATTTGCTGGCTTAAAATACCATGTTAACATCTCAGATCTCTGAGGAATATTTGGATAGTTGGGAATTCTTTCAAGGAGTGACATCATGATGGAATTTGCTCCCTGAGATTCAAAAGGCTTCCCTATTCCATCTGATTCAAGTGTCTGTGAAAATGTGAGTTTATTATTCTGCTGCAGCAGGGTTTTTAGAAGCCAATCTAAACCATCCTAATTAAACCAGTGCCTGGATAACACCTCAAGTATGTGAGAAATGATTTCAGTTTGGGACCCCATCATTAAACTTTACCAGAGCTGAACTTCAGATCCATTACAACTTTATGGACAGCATCTAACTGTTTTTTACAGTAGCGTTTGTGTGTGTAAAGCCATCATTTATTTGGGTCAAAACCTGCAGAAGATGGACAGAGAATCCAGAACAAAATGTTGCAAAGTGTCTATGAAATACTCCTTTGGGGAAAACTCCAGAAGAGGAAAGGAAGAACATGGGAAAAGGAAGCTTCAGCTCAAGAAACGGGTTCTCCAGCTCTTGATGCTCACATTGCCTGTTGCCACATAAACTGTACCTAACATAAGAGAGTTTCCCAAGTCATGCATTAGGGTAGTGTGACTGAATTGCCATGGAAAGAACTAAGTATTCTTGGCATCCAGAGATACACTTTTTCAGAAACAAAATTTACCTCACACTAATAATGACTTTATGTGGCACATTGTGTATGAATTAAGTCTTACCCAGTTAAACCCCAATGAAATACTGTAGGATTCAGTAGGAACAGTAGGATTCACCCTCAAATTAGTCTCAATAATATTATGTTAAGTTAGGACCTGATTTTGGCCATCCAGAAAGAAGGAAGTAGGAGGAAAGTTGTAAAGAAGTCCCTTTCCTGGCCCCCATAGGCTGAAGTTTTCTATAATCCTGACAGGTAAGAGTCTTTTCACTTGTAGTATTCCAGCTAAATGAAGAGCATGGTAAATGTCAAGGAGGATGGGGGCAAAGCACAACAGTTATAGCAGACACAGGGGAAACTGGAGGTTACAAATATGCTGTACCATATGTTTTGGAAGGTCAAATGCATGTCTGGTGTGCTCTAGTTGGGATTCCAAGGGATCACAAGGATCTTCTCCACCTGCTGTAGTGGCTCCTACTGATGAACAGGACTTATGCCAGTATCTTCAGTCAGACAATGTTTCGACCTTTAATTAACTAACCTTTTAAATATAGCTGGTTCAATTTATATAGTGTCTTTTTTCAGCAAATTTATACTTTTCCGACTTTAAAAAAGTACACGTAATGTCATTCATTCACTAGCCCAGGGCACTCCCCTGCCAGCCCTCACCTTCAAATCAACAAGTTTGGAAGGGCTTTGATACGCAGACATGTTGTTCTCATTCTGCCCTATGAGTACAAGTTGTTAACCATAGATCTTCCTTGGGACCAGGCTACTGTCTTACATGGCAATGTTGGAGGTGGGGCAGGAGTGGGGGGTTATATTTTTCAATAACAGATTTTCCCCACTATGATGTTCTCAGTTCATGATATTTCTAACATGTTTTAGAAAGGATGCTTTCAGGTAGCTTTTAATTGCTCATGTTACTGCCCATTGTAAATGCCTTCTCTATAGTTTAAATGTTTAAAAAGTCTGTGATACTCATTTTGTATTTCCCTATCTGGCAAAACATTGATTTCTTTTTTTAACCTGTGCTTTGAAAGATGATGAAATAATCACAGATTTTTTTTGTTTTATATTCATAGAGCATAAAACATTTATATTACTAAAATATTATATCTAATTCACCATATTATAACAATTGAATTTTTATATTACTAAATATTATGTCCCCTGAAGCTGAGAATACAGTACAGCACTAAAATGATTTGATTTTAGGGACGCACTTCAGAGATCTGAGAACCTAAGCACTGTTAATATTTACTCTAATTGCTACAGTTTTACAGATGATTGCACTGTAAAATATATGTATAAACTTTGCTGATTCTTATACTTATGGGTCTTTTCTGAGATGCTGAGTGTCCAAAATACCTACAGGCTTAAAAGGGAGGTGAGGGCATTCAGTACTAAGCAGGATGAGGTCCTATAGCTTTTTTTCAGCCCAGATTGAATTTTTACAGCTGAGCTACAACCCATGAAAAACATGGCTTTATAATGGAAATGCTGATACAACCTTTCAATTAGAGTAACGCTAACTGCAGCATTATAATTAGAGATGCGCTGACCCTCTTACAGCTCTTTTTTCAAATCAAGAGAACACATTCTTTTTTTGCTGACCATTTGTTAGCTTCTTCTAAATTCAAAGAAAATTGGGTCAATAATTTGTTACCTAAAATGTATTTTCTTGATCTATTAAAAAAAAAGGAGATGAACTTCACTCTAACCTTTTGTGAGCCACTTCATTTACAGAAATATATTATCATAACCTATGATGTAAATGATGTGTTTTGTTCTGAGTTGGTTTTTATTTGGGGGGGAGGGGTTGTTGTTTTTTTTCAGTTTGGACCAAGAAGAACATGAGTTAATAGTGAACTGGCATCTTCCTACGCTTTGTACAGTTTGATTTCATTTCTCACAATTTATTATACTGCTAATAAAAAAAAGATACCAGAATATCATCTTGACACATCAAACTGACAACAGAAACCTGGTTATGTTTCAAAAGAAATGATTTAATATTTCATTATGTAAAATGTTTGTTGAGCATGTAGTTTGCCAACTGTTCTGCAAAGCCTCTAACTAAATATTGATTGGTCTCAAAACTGCAACACTAACAACAGTGAAAAAGCCATTGAACCTTTTTTATATTATAAAATGGCATTTTTGTGTTAAGGTGCTTTGTGATAAAATCAATATGGCCCTGGGGAGACACAATATGGTCCATATGCCATGTCTATAAACAGGACCATGGTGCCCCTGCTATGTTCACAATCATGGCCTTCTTGTAAGATGTATCATCTTGTTCAGAAATGTAAGAAAATATAGTGCATAATCGTAAATTGAAAATTGAAACCATTTTATCTAGACTAGCAACAGTAAATAAAACATCAATATTAACAGAAGACGGTTCAAGAAGATTAGAAGAAGTGTATTTCTACCAAAGGTATTTATAAAATCATTGACCATCTTGCTCACAAAGTTATGAAGCAGCAAAAACCTTTGAATAAATGTTTTCTACCTCTGTTCCTCTAATTTTTAACAATCTGAAAATGCATATAATACATCCAAAATTTGTCCAAAATGTTTATTATAGTTGCAAACTCAAATATAAAAATATTAAGGTCCTTTTGTGCCCTATGATTCTATGAAAAGAAAAAAACAAAACAAAACCAAAAACCAGATATTCTGTCATGTGGCATTGTACTGACATTCACACAGGTTATTGATAGGGTTTCTGCCTTTATACCCCAGATCTCTGCCAACTGATGTAATGGAGTATCATAGAATCATAGAAAGTTTGGGTTGAAAGGGACCTCAGGATGTCATCTAGTCCAACCACCTGCTCAAAGCAGGATCATCTCTGACTAGATCATCCCAGGCAAAGCTTCGTCTATCCAGGTGTTGAAAACCTCCAAGGATGGAGATTTCACCACCTCTCTGGGTAGCCTGTTCCAGTGTTTTACTATCATCCTAGTGAGAAAATTATTCCTAATATCTAACCTCAACTTCCCTTGCTTCAGACTGTTGCTCCTTGGTCTGTCATATGCCACCACTGAGAACAGTTTAACTCCATCCTCTTTCAAACCCCTCTTGAGGTTATTGAAGGCTGCTATTAAATCCCCTTTCAGTCTCCTCTTCTTTAGACTAAATAAGACCAGTTCCCTCAGTCTTTCCTTATAAGTCATGTCCCCCAGCCCCCTCACCATTTTTGTCACTCTCCACTGGACACTCTCCAATTTGTCCACATCCTTTCTGTAGCATGGGGAGCCAAAGCTGAACACAGTACTCCAGATGTAGAGGGGAATAATCACTCTCCTTGACCAACTGGCAACACACCAACAAATGCAGCCCGGTGTGCCATTAGCCTTCTTGGCAACAAGGGCACACTACTGCCTCGTATTCAGCTTATTGTCCACTGTAACCCACAGGTCCTTTTCTGCAGAGCTGCTGCCCAACCAGTCAGCCCCCAGCCTATACTAGTGCATGGAATTGTTTCATCCTAAATTCAGGAATCTGCACTAGTTCTTGTTGAACCTCATGAGATTCCTTTTGGCCCAACTCTCCATAGTTTCATAGTTGGTAGGGTCAGAAGGGACCTGAGCAGATCATCATGTCCGAACCCTTGCCATGGGCAGGAAAGAATGCTGGGGTCAAATGACCCCATCTGCGTGATTATCTAGCCTCCTTTTGAAGACCCCCAGGGTAGGAGCCAGCACCACTTCCCTTGGAAGTTGGTTCCAGATCCTAGCAGCCCTGACTGTGAAGTAGGGTTTCCTGATGTCCAGCCTAAACCTACTCTCAGTCAACTTATGGCTGTTATTCCTAGTTACTCCTGGTACTGCTCGGGGGAACAGAGTCTCTCCTGTTCACCGCTGGTCCCCCTTGGTAAATTTATAGATGGCTACCAGATCCCTTCTCAGCCTTCTCTTGTGGAGGCTGAACAGGTTTAGGTCCCGAAGCCTCCCCTCATAGGGTCTGCCCTGCTGCCCCCTGATCATGCAAGTGGCCCTTCTCTGGACCCTCTCCATGCTGTCCACATTCCTCCTGAAATGCGGTGCCCAGAACTGGGCACAGTACTCCAACTGTGGCCTGAGCAATGTCACATAGAGGGGGAGGATCACCTCCTTGGACCTGCTCATGATGCATCTGTGGATGCATGACAAGGTGCGGTTAGCCTTCCTGACATGTCATCACATTGGAGGCCCATGTTCATCTTGGAATCAATAATGACTCCAAGATCCTTTTCTGCCTCTGTGCTGATGAGAAGGGAGTTCTCTAACCTGTAGGCATGCTGCTGGTTCTTCCTCCCCAGGTGCAGTACCTTGCACTTGTCAGTATTGAAACCCATCCTATTCTCATCCGCCCACCCCTGTAACCTGTCCAGATCTCATTTGTAGCCTGTCCCTCCCTTCTAACGTCCTCACATCTTAGTGTCCAATTTGTCTAGGTCACTGTGAATCCTAGCCTTACCCTCCAGCTTGGTGCCATCTGTAAGCTTGTTGAGGGTGCCCTCTATGCCCTCTTCCAGGTCATTGATGAAGACATTGAACAAAGCTAGCCCCAGGACCGACCCTTGGGACACTCCACTTGATACCGGCTGCCATTGTTCAAGCCATTGATTACTACTTTCTGAGCTGGATGCTCCAGCCAGTTTTCTATCCACCTTACAGCCCTTTCATCCATCCAACCCACACTGCCTTAAAAATGAGACTTAAGTTCTTAAGGCTGCCTATACCAAGACTTTTTGTTCCTAGCTCTCAACTCAGGCCCTTCTGCGACAGAAGAGCAACTGATATTAGTATGTGACAGATATATTTAGTATGAACCAGCACTGCAGGGGACAAATGCATGCTGTGCCAATGGATTTTATAGTATTTGCTGACAGTACATGGATGGTGAGACCTAGAATTCCATTTCAGGCTATGGAAGGGACTTGATTTAAGAACAGATCTTTCTTTTCCAGTCCCAAGCCTGACAGCCTCTGCCCTTGTTCCTGCCCTCTCTCTTTTCCATTTCCTACTCCTCATTCCTGTCTTCCTCCATCTCTGCATCTCCTTCCTTGCCTAAACCAGTCTCCAAAATCCCTTGCCCACAGGATTATCATCCAAATCTATTTCCCTGGGCTTCTCAACATCTTCTTCAACATCGTACCAGGTCTCTCTGCCCACACCTTGCCTCAGCCTCATTTTCCAGCTAGTCCTAGTTCTCTACCCCTCCACACTGAGTACTTTACACAGCCAGTTCTCTCCTCCCTGGGGAGGGAAGTCTTACCTGCCTAGGCTTTCTGCACACTGAAGACAGCTGATACTGCTGCCACTGCTACTGCTGTAGCAGCACTGGCTTTGGTGGCAGCAGGCCCAAGGCATGGGCTCCTTGGGAGCCAGGCCTTGTGCCCAGTATACTTGCCCCAGATATGCTATTGGGCACAGGGCTGCATGTGCTGTGACAGACTGTCCCAGAAGGGGAAGCACTATTAACCCCTCTGGATACACTGCTGGGTGCAGGGTCACACTGATTGACTCTTATGTCCAGGCAGTGCAGGGCTTCTGCTGCCATGGCAAAGATTCCCCACAGGAAGAGGAGGTTCTGGCACCCATTCATAGTGCCTGGGGCTGGTGCACAACTTGTCCTTCTCGGTATGTTACTAAGACAGTCAGACCCTGTGCCACCAAAGGGCCATTGAAGTATATATTCAATCTTAGTTTCATAGTTTCTAGGGTCGGAAGAGACCTGAGCAGATCATCTAGTCCGACCCCCTGCCATGGCAGGAAGAGCACTGGGGTCAAATGACCCCAGTAAGGTGGTCATCCAACCTCCTCTTAAAAACCCCCAGGGTGGGAGCCTGCA